CCAAGAGAAGGCCTACGAGGACTACATCTCACATGCACTCTGACACTAGTTGTACTCAACAACCATGATTAGACCACTGCTGAGTGCAATGCACTGTTCCAGATGATGAAGGCAATGGAAAGGTTGAGATCTGAACCTCAAAAGGAGTTTATGCTTTGGTGAAAGAAGGCACAAATATAAGAAAGATCAAATAAATGGATTATACAGTTGCATCTTGAGGCAATATATGCTAAAGGAACAACAGCCACTGCACAGAAGTTATGAGTTGGACCAAAAAGATGCACAGGATTTGGATAGGTGCCAGGCGAAGGGATAAGGGAGGGGGTTAATAACAGGGCACATAATATTTTATGTGGAGGGATAGAATAAATAAAGAAGGTAAGAGAAAATCATGGTGAACACGGTGAATTTAAGGAGTTAGTGAAGAGACATATGAAGTGGAATTCTTGAGACAAAAATGATGGGAACGGGAAATAAGAGTGGAAAATAGATTAGGATTAAGTATTAAATAAAGTTTCAAATGTCACACTAAGGATTTTTCAAGAAATAACTCAGGCCCAAAACATAACAGGTATCTAAGAAATTATTGCTTTAGAGGTAAAAATATTGCTTTTAGAATAGTCAAATATTTTTATGAGAAGAAAGGAATTTAGACTTGATATAAGTGGTAGAAAGTCACTGATGCTATCTGAACAGGGCAATAATGGAAAAATACATTTAAGGACATATTATAGATTAGGGAAATTAATTTAAAAGTATCAGGAAGAATTCATTGGAGAGAGTTTGAGATTGAAAGCAATTTTATATTAGGGTATATGTCTGAGTACCTTGAGAAATAAAACATAAATGGACTTCAAAATTAAAAATCTAAGCAGAAAAATAATTAAGCTTTAAAAAATTAAACTTTCAATTAGCCAGTCAAATGATGCAACTGGACAAAGTAATTAGATTTTGAGGAAGCAGGCTTTTCCTGAATGTCTTAACTGACTTTTCAAAAGAGAAATAAATTTGATTAATGATTTTTTTTGATCAGAAGTTACTTGAGTACTTTGGTGGAGTTAAATGCTTTACAGTAAAAATACCACTTTTAGAATTAATAGTCAATATTTTGTGTAATGCAATAACACATACGAATAGTCATTTAAAACTATGGTCCTCAACCCTTGTGCCATGGCCCGGCACTGGTCCATGGCCTGTAAGGAACTGGACCAAGGATTACCACCTGAGTGCCCCACTACCCTGTTCTCCCCACTTTCCCCATCTGTGGAAAAATTGTCTTCCATGACACGAAACTTAGGAATCAGGGGGCTGCGCAGCAGGAGGTGAGTGGTGGGTTAGTGAACAAAGCTTCATCTGTATTTACAGCTGCTCCCCATCGCTCGCATCACTGCCTGAGCTCCGCCTCCTCTGCTCCAGTCCTCCCAACCCCTCACTGTCTGGAAAAATTGTCTTCCATGAAACTGGCCCCTGGTACTAAAAAGTTTGGGGACCACTGATTTAAAACATACACACGAAAGGGTGCCAGATATATTACTGGCCATGTTAAACATACCATAAAGCAAACCATCAACTTAAGAATATACTGGTCCCTTAATCATTGGAAAGATTATTAGGCATTATGACATTCACCATGCAATCAAACCTCTATTTAAAATCAAATTACAATTACTCTAATTACGGACCAACATTTCATTCGTTACACAACTGGTACCTAATCAAACAGTTCTGTGGAAGAGATGATTTCACCACAAGGTAACTTAATTAATTTCAGTGCCAAATAAGTTTTTTTTAAGAGGGTTTTTTTTTTTTTTAAGCAATTGATTTATAAGTTTAGGTGTCAGAAATTTTATTTCTATAAAAATTACTACATGAACTAATTCTAAATCAAACCAAAATGCTTGCATGCATTATGAAAAAATATTCTTCTCTCATAAATACTTCATTTAAATATTTCCCAGCAACAGGCTTATGTAGACCAACCAGGAAGTGAAATCAAATATGATCACATTGTGAAAGCTGAGTAAGTTGAAAGAATACATTTGGAATGAGATGAAGCACTATTAAAATTTCATTTAAAAATCCATTCCCTTGGAGACATCAATTTAATTAAAGCAGTAATAAGAGGAATTTCAAAAGCATAAGTCTTCATTTTGTTGTTTGGCAATTTCCCCAATCTTCCATGCAAACGTCTCTTCCTGTAGCCAGGCTGGCTCACCTGAGATGGGAGCACTCACCCAACCTGCTGGGCGATGGCGAGAGCAGGGTTAAGCTATCGTTTTCCTGCTAGTACATCTACTCTTAATGCCACCTTTAATGACTTGCTTTGGAGAAAATGTATCTTTTGCTTTTTAGGTAACCACCAAATCCCATTTCCCTTAATTGTTTTGCTGTGGTTACTGTCATTCCCTTTATTCTACTGTAAAGTATAAACTCCCTAAAAACAGAAACTGTGTTTTATTGTTTGATTAGTTTGCTTTTTAACTAAGACTCAGTGATCCAGGCATAGTAAGAGTTATAATAAGTACCTAACCATTATTCTTATTGTCCAAGGATAGTGTAACCAAGCAAAACTTGCTACTGTTTATGTTTTCCTTCCAAGATGGATACTAAGTAGAATCATCACTTCCTGGACTCCACTACCATCTCGCTTATTTCTAGGAGGCTGGGTATGGGAGAGGGGAGTAGGAGACATTCATGCAAAAATAAAATGAATTTTCATTTACTGATTATTATACTTTATTCTTAGTTTTATTTTAAGCAGGATTTAAGTTTAATATTATATACAGTGCAGAATTTTTATGAACATTTCTTTGCAATCTAAATAAATAAGGTAGCTCCTAATTATCTATCACTTTGGCAAGTGATCAGGTAGCTCCTATTAGACACTGTACAAACAAATTGCAAATGTGAATGTGCTAATCTGCGGACAAGGCGGACACACTGCTATGTATAAGAACGGAACTTAAAAGGGGGAAAAACTAAGCACGAGCAGTGACAGACAAATCCACCTGCATGTATATGTGTGTCTGTAAACACATGTATAAAAATTTGCAAATAATGTGGTTAGTGACTTCAATAAACACTTGAGAGTCTACGCTGTGCCAAGAACAGCGTGACTCCTAAGAAAGCCAACCAACTCTATTGCCATTATGTTAAGACGCTGAAGAGCCTGCCTAGGGATTTTATCCAGAGCACATCTGTGGACTTGTAAAAAAGTCAGTATTGAAGTCGGCCAGTCCCCTAGTCAGTACCCTTTTCTCTGGGCAGCCTTCTTCCTTCCTGTTACTTGTTCACTCACTTTATCAAATACCATACTTTTACTACAGAGACTGATGCTTTACAGTTGTATTCATTGAATTCTCTTGACAGGGAGAATTTATTGAGCATTTGCTATGGTATGGGATGAATAGGACAAAAAAGTATACTTCTTCTTGTATTTACCCTTAAAACACTCATAAAAGAACATGGTAAATGTTATATACGAATTGAGCAGGGAACAGGAAAATAATCATAGATAATCATGGATAAACAGTATAGCTGAACAACTCTGAACATGTGTATAATGCTCTAAAGTTTATGGAGTATTTTTTTCATAAACAGTCATTTAAATCACGCCCTTGGTTTTAAGATAAGAATACCAACTCGGAAAAAAATAAGCTGCTGAACACATATGGCTAGTGAGCAAGGGCTTGCTCCTATAACTGACACCAAACATCATGTTGTCCCAACCATCCGAAGCTTCCTCTCATAAGGGTAACAATTATAGTTCAGGGAATGGAGAAAACAGCATAGATGAGGTACCTCTGAGCCTTTAGGATATGTGGGAGCTAGAGCAAAGAAAAGACTTCCAGCTGGGGAAGGGCAAGAGCAGAGAGGCCTTGGGTGAGGAAGAGCAATGAGGCAGCACGTACCACTGAGGAGAGAATCTTCACGGCCAGAGGGAGATGACTTTGCAAATAAATGAGGTTGTGAGGGCACCGAGGGTCGAAAATTCCAGAATGAGGAGGAGGCTTGACTTGACTCACAAAAGAGAATCATTACAGATTTTAAAATAGAATGCAAGAAATATTTCAGGAAAATTAACATGGTGAGGCATGGGAGATAAGCTGGGGCCAGGATCAGGGAGGAGAGAGAATGAAGGCCAGGGACCCAGGTAGGGTCCCACTGCAGTGGTTCAATAACAAAGTGGTGAGGGTCCAGAACAGGGGAGTATCAGTGAGAATGACCAGGAATGAAGGCAACAAATATTGGCAGGTGGGAGAGATGTGGAACAAAAAGGGGAGTAAAGTTGGGTTGAAAAGCTCCATTATAAAGTGCTAGTAAGTATTCCAATTGGCATTTAATGGAATACCAATGAGCAATCTGATGAAATTTGCTCTTTCATTTCAAATCAAGGCAATTATTAACATAATTAAGATTTTATACCTTTATCAAAGGTTGGGCATAGCTAAGTTTCACCAAGAACTGCTTTCAAGAGTGAACCTGAAGCTGAAGGTGAGATGAAAAGGCCATTTGGTCCAGATCATATAGAAACATGGGTACCATGCTCGGAAACCACCAAAAGTATTTGTGAAAGGGAGTGGCATAATCCAGTGTCAAATTTTAAATTCAGAAATTTAGAATTTGCCACTTTGGTAGCAGCATGGAGAACTCATTAGAAAGGAGACATGTACACAGGGAGGAAACCAGAAAGATCAATGGTCCAGAGGATAAACAAGAAAGGAGGCTTGAGCTCAGAAGTGACTGAGTGTGAAGAGAAGAAGGAATAAAAGCAAACACACCACCATCACTTCTAAGCACTTTCAAGCAGGTGCTCTGCACAATGGCCTATGGGCATGGATTCTAGTGTGCCTTAGGTACTCATCAGAAGGACCTGGTGGCAGACCAGAGGTTATGGAGAGCCAGGACTCAAGGACAAATGACCGCCCCAGCTTTGGCCACAGGCCCAGTGGTGGAGGAGGGTAATGAGTACGGTTATTAAAATGCTGAGTTTGCAGTACCTGTGGGCCATCCAGGCGATGAGGTCTAGTAGGCAGCTGGAAAGACAAACTTGAGCCCTGGGAAGAGGAGAAAATAGGAATGAGTTTGGTAGGTTGTTCACTTTTGCTGAAGACTCTGGCCATTGTTAGATTTAAAGACTAGTACTTGGTGATTTGGAAAAAAATAAGTTATTTAAAATAAAGAACTAAATATAGTCTCAGTCCATCTCCCATATAAAGAAATTTATATAATACGCTCCCCTTTCAGAATATCTCCATTTAAAGTTGGAACAATTTAATTTTTTAGCAAGACAACTGAGTTTACTATGATATAACATCTGTATGTTAGAAAACAAGTATACATGCACATACACGTATACAACTACAAAACACCTCTTTAAATGACTGCTTCTTGACTGCCCAGCTGGAGGTGAACAGAATTGGAAGCAATAGGTTTTGTTTTTAAATAACTTCCAGCCTCCCTATTGCAGATGCTCATTGCCTTCCTGACCATGAACTGCCAACTTTTTAATAAAACATAGAAGGGCATATTTTTTATTTTAGTATAAAAAAGATCCTGCCTTTCCTAAGCTACTTCAATTTGTACTCTAAACTACTGGTTTTTAGAAACAGTGAATATATTTAGCTATCAATAGCATTAACAGAAACATGAAGGAATTTCAGATGTGTATGTTTTATATTTTTATAACTATCAATCTCCTTTCTTTGCCGGCTTTGATAGACTCAGTAAATGTATACTTGGGGAATTTAATTTTGAAAAATTATTCCAGTCGTGTTTTTCCCTACAGAATTTATCTCCATTTAATGTACTACACACTTACTTCTTTTGTCTATTTTCTGTCTCCACCACTAGGTTTCTATCTAGAGGGTTCATTGAGGCATCCCACCACCTAGCCCAGAGAGTGGGGGCACAGTAAATATTTGAGTGAATAATCTCAATCCTGTGATTATTTCCTTGGCAATCATATCTATGCTCCACCTTAGTTTTGAACTATGACTTAAAGAAACTCTTTCAGGATCTACATTGTAGTGGTACCAGCAGGACACTGAGGGTTACTGGTACAAAAGAATTAAAATGAGAAAAACCACAGCCAAGTGTCAATCAAGGCTCCCAGGTTGTCCAGATGATTGCTCTGTCCACCTGTGTCTTAGGAGGAGAAGTTATGATGATTCTTCTCCTAGCCACACTATTCTGACTTCTGGTTTCCCTGATCTCAATTCCTGTTTGCAGCATCTGGTTTAGCCCGGGCTTCCTTGTGGTATTTTGAGCCCTGGTTACCTGAGTTTGACATCTGTTGTTTTCATAGCTTGAAACTGATTTTTTTTTTGTATGTAGCTAAACTTAGAGAATTGTCTAAGCCTGTATTTCTACACAGACCAGAGATTTACATAATTTAAAATTACAAGACAGACATTATAGACTACTTTCCCCTCAAGGTTCCTATTGTCCTTCTCTGTTCCCATTATAAAACCTAACGATTTCCTCACCACCCTGTTTGATGGGATCATCGCAGTAACCACTTGCATTCATTACTCAACATAAATTTTTTTATGGTCAACTAGATGTAGTCTGCATGGATTATTGCATAATCAAATCCAAGGAGAAACTATTACAATACTCCAAATTCATATTAAGACAGAAATTAAAACTTCAAATTTTGAAAAAAAAGATATATTCTAAGGAATTTATGCTACAACTTTTCCATTTGATGTCTAAATATATGTTAAGAAATATTGTGCTTTTGCACTCTTTGTGAAATGTAGTTAATATAAGCTAGGCTATAACTTTTTTTAAGTCTTTGTATTGGAACTAATTTAATTCCTAGGCCAATACTTTCAAACACATCAATTGTATCAGCAAGGCAATATTTAGAAAGGCTCTTGTCATCTACATAGAAGACAATTCACTTGACAGCACTCCTTTTTTTGGGCAATGACTCAAATCAGCCAGACTGAAAATAAATCTAAAGGGTACACAGCTGTCATGTAGCCTCAAGTAGCTTTCTGAGCAATAACTTGATTCATTTTTCTCTATTTGTTCTACTGGTTTTGCAAACAGGATTGCAATCCAACAAATGTATTTATCCCACACTATGAAGAGAGAGCATTTCAGTGTCCTAGAGAGGGTGGTATTCAATTCCTTTGCCCTGATGGGTATAATAAACTGTACATAGTGATTTCTTGATTTTATTTAATGAGAAAAAGATATTTAAGCTCAATGATGTGAATCATTTACAAAATAAGGGCTCTAAAATTTGAGAATAAGATTTTGTCAAAGGAACACGGGAGTCAAAGTTTGAAGAATAGACAGGTACCAGACTGGATTTCTATCTGTGTCTACTGGGTATAGGTGATTTACTTATTTTCATTGTAACAGTCCTTAACTACTGTTTTAACTTTTTATTATGGAAAATTTCAAACATACACAGAAGTTGAGAGAGTGGTACAATGAAGCCTATTTGCCCACCACTCTGATACAACAATCCTGATACCCACCCTCATTGGATTATTGGAAACAAATTCTAGGTAACATACTTTGTCTTATTTTAGTATATGTCTCTAAAATAGAAAGTCTTTAAAAAATATAACCAAAATCTCATAATCATACCTAGTGGCTTGCTGTTAGATATTTAACAACCAGTTCTCTGTGGAAAATAAAAAAGGGCCCTGATTTGTATTCTTTGCCATTTTCCATGGTATAAATATTCCCACCATGGCCAATTTCAAACTACCAGCACGATGTCACTGAATAAAGTTGAGAAGAGATGTGTAGCACACCACCATACAGTACTTCCACTCTGCAGATACATGAGACATAAATGACCTTAAGAGCATAAATAATAGCAAATTATAGTAAAATAATTAGGAAGTAAAAGTTTTGAGTATTTCTTTTACTTTTAACACTTTAAGTTTGTATGATTTAATTTTTAACAGCTGTGTTTAACAGCTAGCTTGCAAAATTCCTAAAAATAGTTTTACAAACCTGCATGTGTCATCTCTAGCATATCACTGAATCACATCCAAATAAATAATTCCTTAATATTATGAGCTATCCAAATTTCCCTGACATGTCTCTTCTCTTTTTTGTTTAGCAGTAGAGAAATGTTTTAAGCGGGAAGGGAGGGAGCTTTGTTTCAGAAAGCTACACGAGTGCTGCTTTCTGTATATAACTCAGGCTGCTGTTAAAGTCTGTTTCCAAGAGGTTAAATAAAATGCCATAGTGATTATATACGTTCATATCATGTAGGAATGATAGTAATGTTTTTATTTTGCTTTTACTTGCCCATTCTCAGGCCCCCAAGAGAAAAAGAGTTTGAAAAGGAGGACAGAGACTTGGAAGAAGGGAAAACATGTCCATGTCAGGTTGACAACCATAAGGTGATGGAATGTTCGGAGAAGAAGAAGATTGCTAAGATGTGAGATACTTTCCTGTGCCTCATGTATCCCACCATTGAAACTCAGTTTGCATAAAGCCCTCTTTATAAATGTGCCTTCCAGAACTGGGTATGGCACATTAGATGTGGCCGTGCCTAAGCAGAGGGTAAAGTGGGGTTATGGCCATCCTTGCTGAGGATGCTGCACTGAACTGCAACTCCACCTTGAGTTCACAGTCAAGTCCAATCAATTAATGAACAGTGTCTACCTGTACTCACCCAGACTCTATCGTGTACATTCATGAACCAACCCCCTTCCCACCACCAAATTTGTGCCCAGACTGCCTTTCCAACATTCCCATTATAACTTTGAACATGCTCTCTATTCCAGATAAGTCAGCCTACCTACTGTTCAAAACACACATAATATACAATTTTTATGCTTAAAAATTTTTATTATAAAAATTTTCTGATGCATATAAAAGTACAATATTGTAAGGATCCCCCATATAGCCTTCATCCAGCGCCAACGATGGTCAACTCATATCACACCCATGCCCAGGTTTGTTTTGTAGCAAATTCTGGATGTATCATTTCATGCACAATGATTTCAGTACTTGCATAAGTTCCTTCCTACACATCTCTGCTCAAACATTTCTCTTCCACCCCCTCCTTCATCTTTCCAAATCCTATCTCATCCTGCAAGGCTCACCTCCTACATTGTTTCCACCAAATTTGTCAGTGAGTCATATGTCTCCTTGGGACATCTGTCTTATTGCTGTCCTATCATTCTCACCTCTTAAATTGGACACTCGCTATGTCACTGGCCTGGAAAGCAGGATGCCTCTCTCACTATACATACAGTGTAATAATTCATGCTTAGTAGGGAAATAACTAAAAGATAACCATGTGTTTTCATAAAGTTTATTAAAATTTGGTACAATAATTTTATGTAGTATATTGACTAAATTCCTTAAGTGGGACATGTCTTGGGGAGTAGCATAGGACAGGGTATGCAGACACAGTATGAGAGGGTGCATGCAGCATGCAACACAGAGAACATGCCCTTCTGTTTACATGCTATTTTGGGAATATTGTGTGACTTCTCTGAGCCCACCTGTAAAATTGGAATTAATTGGAGCCATTCTCCCTCTCTCCCTTGCTAAACTCAGAATCAGATGTGATCATATGTGTAAAAATGGTTTTTTAATTGATAAGGCACATTGTTGATGCATATCATTACCTGTAAATGCAGAAATGATTGGCCATTTCCAACAAGGAAACCTAGTGCTTTGAATCCTGAATGTATAAGGAGAATAAATTTCAACTCTCAACAGGAAAACAGGGAATGTGAGAGACAGTATAGAGATCAGATGGGATTAAGAATTAGCATACTAACCCTGGGAGGAATATAGGAGCATATTAATGTCTCTCTCAGACCTTAAAAACCACCGCCTTATAATTTTAATAGACAAATTGAGAGATCTCCAAAAAGGTATTACAAAGAAGGCTATATATCTTTTCAGCTATGTAAGAGGAATTCATGTTACATTAAATCATTAAATGGCAAAATTCAACATCTGATTCCTTCTTCAAATAAAACTACAGAATTTTCTAATAAAATGGCTATAATTTTGAGTTTATGCTCTCCTAGGGACATTCTCAAAGTCTTTGACTTCTCCC